ATTTAGGACAGTATGTAATTTGAATCCACTTCAATTATGAACATACGGTCTTTTCAATACTTTCCTGTGTCTGTGAACTTTGCGAGCGCATTTAATTACTGTCCGTCAATAGAACCGAAGAGAAGCACTACGGCTTCGAGTACATTGCATACCGTGTACACGGTTAATTTTATGGAAATCTCATTCCTTTAATTTGCCTTGCTCGAGGAAATTTGCAAGAAGAATACACTGTACGCAATTTCGCGAAACTGCAAATCTTATCGTTTAGATTTTGAAGTGCTGATTTGAAAGAGCCGCTTAATTAAAATTTTTGGCGACACGCTAAAGCTGTTTAATTGATTTCTTGCAATAAATTACTTTCAAGGGACTTTCGTAAACGTTTTTACGTATACTTGGAGTGACGAAACGTTAAAGATATTTCGTTCGCGCGTTTTACATTTCAATAAAAATTTCCTTCCGCTCAGTCCACCGCAGCCACGTCGACTACTGCCGGCGAAAGCAACCATTTGCAAGCAGAACGGTTAACAGCGCGAGAATGAAAAGCGGCTAATGCCGCGTGACTTATCGTCTTCAACAGGATTTTCCTGCGAATCCGATGTTCAGGATTTTGTTTATCTTAGTTTTATTCTTTCCATGCTCGATTAATGGGTTTCTAATGGTAGAATTAATGGTTCAAGGAAAAAGATGACTAAGAGAGAAAACTTACTATCAAATGCGTGTTCTCGCGTTTTTTAAATTAACGCCTGACTTCCTCTAATTAATGAATAAATATAACAAATTTATTAATGGACTGTGAATTTAATGCATTGATTGCATATGAAAATGCAGGAAAATTAATAATAGCACTATTTCATTTGTAATGTAATGCAATCATTAGTAGAAACAACTAATTTCTATTTAATTTATATTTGTCAGCCTTAATTGGTTGTTACTATTATTACTTATTAAGCGAATTCTACATTTCGTTGTTGATGCGACAATCATTATTTCGACAGTCAATTTATTAATTTGATGATTATTTAAAAATAAGTACAACCAGTCGAAATTAAATAATAATCATAATAAACACATGCATGTCGTTGGTAAATAAAATTTAGTGCAATGACAATTATCATTACAAAATCCATTGATTCATGCGCAAAAACCTAATATGTAATTAGATTGCGTACGTTTATGCACTTTTGCATATAACAAAATAGAAGTTCTTGTATGCTTTAATTTAATTTGTGTCATATTTATATTCAGATTCAACTCAAAATAAAAATTACAAATTTTCATTACATGTCAGCTTCTACACATTAATCTGTGAAAATATGAATTTGCATAAACATTCATCGAATGAATAATAATGTCAATAAAATAATCGTTCTATTAACTACTAGACTGTTTTCATTATAGAATCTCTAAGAACTGAAGTCAGGCAACCGTATAAATTGAATTTCAATGTTGCTTAAACAGGGAATCGAATGACAGACTGAGACAGTACTCGCAAGTTCTCTTCGTATAAACGTTGAAACACACTTAATAGTCGATAATGGAGCAGCCTCGATAGAGGCATAACCAAATTATCTTATCGTCTGGCTGTTAGTGATCTAGAAAACAATGCGTTTGAGAGAGACAGAGAGAGAGAGAGATGGGTGAGGAGGTAGGCCATTGTACGTACATACGTACAATTCAACGAAATCTGCTCTTGTTGCAATTTATTGTTCCCACTTGGCAAATCATAATTTTAGCATGTGTTGCTCGAATGTTATTTCTACCTTTTGACTGTTATGCACATCTAGCTTCCATTTTATAAAAAAGAAACCTTCAAGGGGCAATTAATTTTAATTAAATAAAATTTATTAAATGTCTATTTGATTGAACACCCGCCATTTCATCGCTTAACTACAATGAAAGTCTACCTTTCAATTATTAATAAAACTAGAAGCCTTGAATGAACACTTATTTTGAAGTAGACTATAAATAAATTCAAATCGCAATAATGAATTTTCAACATGTATGTAACTAAACAGAAAACTTCGACATGTATTTATTAAATTTCATTGTATCTTCAGATTATAAAGTTGTAAAACGACTTTTACTATTTTCGTCGCGATTCCGATCAATTGCAACTTTTTCCACATTTTGTTAACACATCATATAGTACACTAATACTTCTAAGTTCACAATGAAACTCAAGTCACTTGGTCCAATTTTGAAAAAGTTGTTCTGTTTTAAAGGGTGTAGCAAGACTTTTCTTATCCACTGTACATTTACACACAGTACATATCGTGTTATCCATCGAGTGAGTATCTACTCTGTTGTTTAGACACTGTATTTTTGCTTGGATAGTCTTCTCAAGGTTTATCGTTTTAACGACCTAAAACCTTGATTATTTTTACTTTAACAGTTTCCACAAGGTTCGTAACTTTAACGTCCTAAAACCTTCATTAGAGACTGATGCCTCCATTTAAACTGCATAGTTTTGTTACTAAATTATACAAGTAGGATTGCTTATGACACTTTAAAACTTTTAGCAATTAGATCCGAAAAGCTTTTCTTCTTTTTCAACGATTTAATTCCATTTCTCAACTCTATTTCCAACGAAACAGGAAACTGAACGTTTTATAGTCGGAAGAGAAACCCCATTTGAACGTTCTAAATCGCAGACCTTGATCCACGGGAGACAGTAAAAAGATATTTTCTAGCGATTGAATTTTTAAGCTTCACTTTCGCGACGGCCGGTCTCCAAGGATAGAAAACACATAACTTCGATCGAAACCGGCAATACATTGTAATCACTTTCGTTCTGGATTTTGAATCACAAGGGACCTGCGGTCATTATTCTTAATTATAAATTATTATCGATTTTGTTCGATTTCATTCTCTACCGAAACATACAAATGCTGTTTCGAATTGGCATACAATATTTCATGGTAATCGATTGTAGACCGTTACTATAAACGTTTCTGTAATGTCTGATGTATTATTCAATATATCTCTGCGGTAACTAGCATCGTTAATTGGCATGTTTGGTGGTGAATAGAGGACTTCGCTTCACGACAACCGACCTTTCGTGTCCTGATGTAACGGCCTTGACCAAACCGATGCCTTCTTATGAATCGATATCGCAAGGAGGTTGTCCGGTAAAACTTGTAAAACCCAGTTCTATTCCTCGATACATCCTTCCATTTCAATAAAAATTAGCTTCATCGCGCAAGGTAACCGAATTTTCGAATACAATACACTTTCTCTCTTTAAAGACACAAATTAACACAAAAGAAATTGAGAACAGTAAAATTGAACACCATTTGGTTAAAGATTCATGGGAACCAAATTTCTTTAGCAGTTATAACAATTTTCGTTTTGTTGAAGAGATTAGATGCCATTTGAACTGTTTCACTATAAATGTAAGTATACATTTGGGTATACTTGACGCATTTATTTTCTATATTAACATACAAGCTATAAAATAAAATAAGTTCTTTTCGCTACAATCTAAGATAATATAAACTTATTTGAACAAGACAGTAGTATACAAACTTTTGAGCAATACTGTATACTGAATTAGATGAAAGCATACGATCTGTGAATAATGAAAAATTAGAATAACGGAACGTTTGGATATTGAAGTAGGTATCCGAATAGCAGAAATTCGATTAAGAAGAGTTCTACTATGTTTATATTTTTCACTGAAACCTTGTATTAACGTCACATGTTATAAAAAATTATGAAAGATGGGATAATTAAATTAGACCAGCAGCAACCTGGGATGCAACATCTCAACTGCTGTTGCAGTTGGGAATCATGGTGCTTTCGCGAAGTTCAACCAATACTACTGAAGGTTTAATCTTTATCACGTGGAATGATGAAAACTTAATTATAAGAATAATATCACTAAATGTATGTATACTTTTAGAATATCTAATTAGTTATTTTAATTTCCAATAGCAAGTGTCACCTGATGATATTTTGAATTTTATTTTCAATCAAATAGTTACTGAAATATAACTATAAGAAGAATGTAAAATAGAAAAGATAACTTACAGTTTCGACAATTTTTTATTACTAAATTATGAATTCTATCTATTTCAATTATACGTGAATATACAAAATAGAATGTAACAAATAATTGTATCATAATTCAAGAAAGTCTTTGTACTATTTTCATTACAGCGAAACTTATTAGTACAATGCCCACGTCTGTTTATGTATTATAAATTAGTTAATAATAATACGAATTCGTATAAACATTTGTATGCTCAAGCATACACAATGCAAGAAACCATCAACTTCAATAATGTTTAATAAGTCATTACTTTGTTTTTAATCTAATAGAACCATTGCTGAAAAACATCAATTTCTACTCGAAAGGTTTTTTAAAATTAGCTTATAAATGAAGTAAATTAAACAATGCCATCCATTCTTCTTAATCGTACACAAGAGAGCTAGAAAATGAAAACACTCAAACCACTTCTAACATGTACGTACGCTGATAGTGCGGTTAATGGTAAATTATCAAAAATACTCGTCGAACAAATATGAAAACTAAAATAATTAAAAATACTCGTCAAACAGGTGTATAAAAAATGTCTAACGAGTTCCACCGTTATCATTTCTTTCAATGTCTAGCTGCCTAAAGTCAACATTACATATTCCTATTGAGTAACCAAAATAGTTTAGGAAAGGTTAACTAGCACTAATCCGTGGAGCGCTGTAGTCACGAAATCTACCGTTAATAACAGAGTTACCCAGACTCTAAACGAATCACTCCGAAGTTTGATGATGATCGTAGGTCGCTAGTAGTATTAACACTATTTGGTTCAGTTATTTCTGACTAACATCGAGCCACGTGGCGGATGTTTTAGGTGCATCCGCCATCATGACGCTGTGCGCTGCTACGTGCCAGAGGGTCGACAGAGCTGGAAGAGCGACCTGAACGCTGCCAGGATCGATCAGCTTCCTTTCTCCGGAGCTAAAATCTTCGAAGGCGACAACAATACGCGGGAAAAAGAGGAATGGTCCCTTGGGCCTTTGGCGTGCCTCTCATCCTCGTTTCTGCTCTGGGACTTCTTCTTAACGGTTACGTTCTCCTCGTGGTCCTCGGACTGGGCAAACAGGTGAATACCAAACTCTTCCCTTTACCCCGAGATGTACGAGAACTTATCGGACATGGATCGCACGTCAGCAGACAATCCAGGGGATGGCCGCTAGGAGACAATGGATCACTGACACTGCAGGAATTATTCAATAGGCTGTCGGTCCTCCTTGATGGTCGTGTTACCGATGACAGAGGATGCACAATGAAGTTTGATAGTGCATAATAGCTGGTCGGATAAATCTGCAACGAGAACTCACTGACCCAGTGAAGTCGAGGCTAGTCGCGATTCATGGATTGGAAGAAGAAAGTGTTCGATCGGATGTTGAGAAATTTCTATAGTTGGGTAGTGAAGCAGCTGTAGTTTCAATTAAATTCCTTATCTCAGGACGAATCTCACTGGTGCTTCACTGGGAAACTACAGTGGTTGTAGTCGATTCGAAAACGATTGACAAAGTTTACTATGATTATTAGACGGCGCAATTTATACATTTATAAAGGGTGTGCAGAATGCAGCAAGATAACTGCTTTAACGAAGGTATAGCCCTGTAACTTATGATTTTTTTTACAATATATCAAAATTTACCGATTTCAAATCCGTTTTCAAAATTGATCTCAGCTTGTTATCATATTAAAATTGCAACCGTACATAAAGATAAAAATATACATATATATGCATAAAAATTAAAACTTAAGATTACATTTAACCCTCCGGAGGTCGTAGTTAATCTGGTAATATTACATGCACAATGTTTTTACAAATATCTTCAAATAGACATATCTAAGAACTTGTGCACCAAGACTAGCTGAACTATGATACTTTAAGGTTCTATGCATGCAATGCTCGCGACCGATAAAGAGATTGTATATTATGTAGGTACAGCGATAACATCGAGCGGCCGAATCACCTTCATGGTTTTCCGAGGGCGTATTTTTTCCGAAGGGTTAAACTTCACTATGAGATTTGACATACTTTCGCCACTTTTACGTGCCCACGTGAGACATGCTGATATACAAGACTCTTATTTTATTATTAATTTCACAAAGTCTTCTATAGAAAAAATAAATTTCTGTTTAATTTCCACCTTTATTAAATCACTAAAAAGTTTAATTTAAACAAAGATCGGTAATCTACTGATTATAAGTAGACTGCAGATCTCTATGTAAAATCACACATCTAGACACAAAACTTCAAGAACGCAGTTTAAACAGAAACTTATTTTCTTCGTTTTATTAAAGTCACGAAAACCTGAAAAATGTTACGTAACTTCATTACAATTTTTATTTTATTTTGTTGCATATATTGATATTTGTATCCGTGAAAATTTATACAAATTGTGGTCCAAGTAAAAACATTATTTTTTCGTGTATTGAATGAATACTTTTTCAAATTAATACTGACTTATATTTCTATATTTAAAAATTGATTAAACGATGACATAGAAATGGAAGAATTTTCGCATAATTGTCAAAATAACTGAGAACTCGGCGACAACATCATATCATAAATTAATCAACTATCCAAAAATATGCAACAATAAAATTTCCCAATACAATAAAACTTTCATTCGTACCCCGACCAGCTCGTATCTTTTAATCGTTGCACGAACAATTGAAAGTCCAAATGCCGCGGGCTACTGGGGATAATATACCATGATCCTCTTACGAGATTTTTTTATTCTATAGCTACGATCATTTTCAATTCCACCGAAGAACTTAATACAGGGTTAATAGTATTTGATATGGGTTCGCGGGGCTTTGAGAGCTCGATTTTTCCGATCGCGGTAATCCCGCCCCTTTTCAAGCGGTTTCATTCTGATATGGGAGCCACTCCTTTCGCAAGCATGACACATTTCTCGAACGAAGAAATGAAACCCGCGAAAGGAAAGTGGCCAACCCTGGAAATAGCCTTTACGCTTTCACGCGAGCCGTTACAACGAACAACGGGAGCCGGCGCGGCCCCCAGACGGTTAAAAAAGATCGCACGCTTTTCGATACTATATCGAAGGCCGAGACGCTGAATGACAGTCGTAGAACTGGGTCGAATAAAATGCGTCCCGACGTTCCGCGAAACTACTCGTCAGATTTGCCCCAGTGTTTCTACCGTAAATGTGATTGCATTGGAAGCTTTCTCTCGGAGTTTTGCTTCCGGCCAAAACAGACTGGTGTAAAAGATACATACAGGGTGGGGCAATAACTATGTCCACTTTGAATGTTGCCGTTATTTGTAATAATATGAAAAAATGTTATATACAAAACTTACACGGTATACAGGGGGGCATATTGTGACACAAACATTTTCTGCGTGGGTGAAGGCATAGAGGAGATTTCAAGGTCATCTCTATTTTTTTTAATGGAATGCTATGTTTTTTTTATCACCATGTGATAGTCGGTGTTGAGACGACTTCAGCGAGCTATCATTGAAGGTCACGCAAGGTCAAATGTGGTAGTAAAATAAATTCTTACATTACAGGAGATGCTCGAAGTGGTGACCGTTTGCGTCAATGCAAAGTTGCAATCTTCGTATCGCTGCATCACGTGCATGTCTTATCGTTTCTGAACTTATTCTAGCATCGACAGGGAGGAAAATCGAACGAGGGAGGTTGACTTGAACCTCGATAAATATCGCAAGAAAAAGTGAAAATTGTTTTATGTGCCACAAACAAGACAATTGGCATTTTCAAATTTTATCAGTTAAGTCTAAATTCATTTTGTTCCTAGATTCATCAAATCTTCAATAGAAAATATTGGGTTAGGTTTAGTAGGTGCTTATTACATTTGGCTAGAACTTCTCCGTTACATATTTCTATCTACGTATACCCCTTTTACTCTTTTGGCAATTGTCCTGCTCTGTCTCGTTGCAATAACTCTGTATTGTGGAATAAATTGGTATCATCATCACTATTAAAATATCAATTTCTATTTCGTTCCTGTTTCCATAAATAGGTCTTCAAAAACTGAGATCTGCGCTAAGATTAGCCACTAATTAGTCCTACAGAAAACAAATATCTATAAAAATGTTTCTATAAAATCCAATTTAAGAAATGTTATATAAAAAGAAGTCGACGAAGTAGCGGCTAAGAAATGTAGCAACGGATGATGAACGAGTGTCGGAAAGTGTAGATTACGAGATCCCAGCTAGAAATTGATCCCGTACCATCTAAGAAGTTTTGTTGCGAGGAGGGAAGTTCAGTTAACAAGTTAACCGCGTATTGCCGTGATGTCCGCAGACGCAGCAGCAACAAACCGCCAATACTTTGTTGCTGACACACTTGGGTGCGGTGGAAGCGGCCGTGTGTCTGATATTACTGATCTTTACTACTGGTTCCTGGCCCATCGCCGGCACCTGGTGCGTCCTCCACGGTTTCCTTTTAACTCTTTTGCATCCGGTCGCTCTCTGGACCGTAACTGGACTGAACTGTGACAGGTGAGTAGATACTTCACTGCACTTTTAAAATATTTCGCAGCTAATGAAGTTTTATTAGCCCTTGATCGATAAAGAAACAGACATATTACGTGACTGGAATGGTTAATTCTCACAACGGAAAGATAACTCGTTACAACGTACCTAATACACGGGATTTTATTGAGCAGTTGGTTCAGGATTGTACTTTCGTGATTCGAACGTCCGTGACGCAACGGTACCATCGACAAAGTAGACAAACGACTCTCAGTGGAATCCTGGGCGTAGCCACGCTATCAGTCAGGGGGGAGAGGAGGGGCAAAAATATTAACACGTCGACTGCCACAGTGAAAAAGGCTGTACATAGCCAGACACGCTTTATTTTGTTTTTAAAGTCATAAATCGTTGAAAATGTATGCATTTTGTGAATGGAGGCTGTTGGTCGTGTTTCAAATTATACTGGAATATTAAATATTACGCAAAAATTTTGTAACTCAGGGAGGAGGGGGGGGCAAAATCTAATTTTTTTCTTGTAGGATGGGGCAAAAGCCACTTTTTTCCGTCCAAGGTGGAGGGCAAGCCCCCCCCTGTCCCCTGGGCGACGCCCATGTGGAATTCTGCTCTTTTTCGAAGTCCGCGGCGGAACATTATTTCTGCAACGTTAAAAACGTATACCCTGTTTTTCAATTTCGCAATTTGATTTTTCATGGGCTTTGGAACATTGTATTTAGAGAATATATACAAGCTGCACTAATTAAAAGAGAACGTGTAGAGGCAAAATTTCCATCATTTATGGAATAATATTAAGCAATTAAGGACATCATTGTCATTCCAAGACAGAGGCGAAAGTTTTCGTCAAAATCATGTTTTTCAAGATTTCATAGTCTCTTGCTTTAACAAACTTCATATGTGTTTACTGTTATTATTTGTATTGACTGCTTTGTCCAGTGAAGGACCCAGATAACAGACATATGTCTTTACTGCTTTTATACTTTCATAAAACAAATGTCCCTAAAACTATGATGTTATTTTTATTCAACGTACTATTGTCGATTAAATCAGCATCTCTTTACGTGGTAATAATACAATAATTAAAATCTACAGTTATTAAAGATCTGATTGAAACACACTATGCTGTAACGTAATCATTTTTAATTTTCAATATCTCGTACTGATAAATATTTATCCAGAATCCCTACTGTTCCTGAGTTAATAAATCCTGCGTCATCCGGACTCGTAAAACATATCACCTCAGCTTCCACATTGTTTCCAGAAACATCTTAAACTTTGTCCTATATTCTCAACCCTTCTTCCAATTTCAAAACCTTTTACAACCCTACCCCCTAGACGAACTACAGTTTCGGATCTCACTGTTACTAGCACTAATACACGTTCAGTTCTGAATCTAACTCAGTTATAGTGAACTTTCGCAGAAGATTGTCTTCAAAAATATAAATCTTTTAAAATTCTGTCCAGAACATATTTTTAGAAAGAAACCGATTTTATGAGTATTTGATTAATTATTTTAACGTTCAAGAGCTTAGGGGCACGTTTTCCCGTTACCCTATCGAGTTCAAACTTTGCACAGATTATTCTTTTATTAATTGGAACTATTCTGCAGGGTGCCGCGAGAAAAATGTTGACAAAATTTTTTATCGAGACCAAATAAGAGCCCCCCTAGTGAACATCTTATATTAAAATATAATACTGTATATAAGAAATACAGTGTTTCTAACATTAGCTAAATATGTTATCGAAAGTTAAACGGTGAAGAAACGCGGAGTTTATAGACCGGAGACGCGAGATCACGCGATTTACGTCTAAAAAAGACTCTGGTTCTCCAGCCGTAAAGTCGGCGAGCCGTTGGATCGAAGGTTCTCTATCTCGTCGAATAGACGATACAAAAATCGTGTTTGCGCCGAAACCCGTGGTGACGTTCAACGAGCTGTGGCCTTACGGAGCACAAAGCCTACAAGCTTTTCGCTGTAAGATGTCAATAGCGGCTCCCAGTATTAAGCCAGGTACATATCTCTTTGGTCGTCAACCGGTGCGGGATCTTCAATTCAATCTGAAACCCTTCGGACAAATCGTGTCATTCTCGTGTGCTCGTATCAGGACTGCTAAGTTACGTGTCCATTTGAGAGGATCTTGCTCGAGTTCCTTGCAATAGTTTCTCGCGAGTATGTGTCCATTTCAGCTCAGCTTCGAAAATTTGTACTCTCAAATAATCCAATAGAAAACTCGCCGAGAGCTTAATATCGCACAGAACTCTCAGAACCGTGTCCACTTGAAGTTCGTCTTCGATCCCTGGCAGGAAGTTTCCGGTCACACGCATTAATACGAAATTCACTGAGAATATTCGTATTTGAGAACTATAAAATATTATCATATAAAGATTGAAGTAATGGGAAATTGAAAGGAGGCTAATACGAAGTAAATAACAATATAATAACACAAACTTTTATTTATTATGAAAAAGAAACACAATAAAAAATGAAATGTTACATGGAAAAAAGTTTCCGATCATAGCTAGAATAAGTACGTTCTTGAATATGAGAAGCGTAGATTATAAGTATAAACACAGAAGAAGACCACAGAAATGGAAGTAGAAGTTCACCTCTACGGAATCAATATGTCGTACAATTTCATTCAGTACACAAGCAAGTGAAATGTTCAATATGCCACCACACAAAGTGTATTCGAATGATATAAAGGTAAGAATAATCGAGCTATTGAAGGAAAGAAATAGCCAAAGAAGAGTTGCACAGATCATAGCATGCAATCAAAGTACAGTCAGTGACTTAAAAAGAAAATATAACGAAACAATTACGTTAAATTGTAAAAAATATGGGACGATTAACTTCGAAAGAAATAAATCAGCAGTGGGCTCGAAACGTTTCTGACCTTACGGTCGGAAATCGTTTAAGTTATATGGGTTTCTCATTTCGAAAAGCAAGGACGAAAACATATCTTACGAAAAAACATAAAAGGGAACGCTTACAATGGTGTTACAACGCTTACAATAAGGAAACTTTGTTCCATGTAACATTTGTATTCTTATCTTGTTTCTTTTTCACAATAAATGGAAGTTTGTTATTTACTTCGTATTAACTTCCTTTCAATTTCCCATCACTTCTATCTTTATATGATAGTATTTTATAATTCAAAAATATGAATATTCTTAGTGAATTTGGTATTAATGCGTGTGATCGGAAACTTTTTGCCAGGGGTGGAATCCTCGCATTCGGTGCAAAGCCTACATTTGCGAACAAAAAAATTACCACTTTTTCGATTCGTTTTATTTTTAGGTTCATTCAGTTGGTGTAAGGAGTGGAATGACCCTCCATTACTTTTTAACGTCAACTCGAAACTTTAGTACGTGTTTAATATATGTACCCTAGTAGCACAAAATATTAAATACATATTCATTTTTAATATTTAAATATACATACAATGTTTATTTCATATTACGAAAAAAATATTTATTTAATATTGGAAACAAAATATATATATATTCTGATTGACAACTAAAAGCTGTATAAAACTCAGTACGTTAACCTTTTAAATTGAACTTAAGAAATAATAAAAATAAAATAATTAGAAAGGTGGTAACTTTACCGTACTGTCTTGTCGTCGACGACGTATTTACGATGAAGTAATTTATTTTAAAACCTTATGCATTTCGAGATCAACCTGCACCAAACCGAATTTTTAACTGCTGGTTGTCTGCAGCACGTGGAGTAGTAGACAATTTCTTTTGGTAAGACGAACAAATTTCTGAACATATTTCGTTCTTCTCTTTTCGTTTCCAAATTTCTTTTCATTGAATCGCAGAAATCGAAATAATTATATACGAATTTTCCAAAAAAATGTAAGGGATGAATTCAAACAGTATTTTATGACATCGTATGGTGTAGTTTCATGGCAGTATACATAGACATATACATATGTATATTATAATTGATATTTCCTTACGTCGTATTCAATAAATGAGTGAAAACGGTGTCGTATTCATAGAAAGTATAGTTAGGAACATCCACTTTATCGGTTTCACTCCCACATTTTTTCTTTTTAATCTTTTTAATTCCTATGACATCTGTAATTGGAAAAGTTAAATAATATATTTATTT